TTATAGACTAACAGACGTATTGGAGCATGAGCTTTCGTGCTCTGACGACATGGGTATTCACCCACGAAAGCTCATGCTCCAATACGTCTGTTAGTCTATAAGGTGCCACAGGACTCTCGCTTTTTACATGAGAATGTTTTCTTGATATAAACAATGTTTTAAATTCACATTTATCTGGTTATCCCGGGGCAGCCTCCACGTGAGCATCCAACCCTCACTATCACAGGGACTCTCACATCTTTCTTCTGACAAGGGGCTAAAGGTAAACCGAAGAAACTACTGAAAGCAGAGTAACACACAGGGTTCCCCTGGGATCAGAAGGCCTCCATAGCCAGGGACCATCCTGCAGGAACAAAGCCTATGCCTCCCCAAGGCTTCAAAGTCCCAAGACAGTAGCTGAAGGGAGCAACGGAAAGTGGCACTTGCAGGGTTCGGGTCCCACTGGACAGCTGCAATGCAAGCTTTCCCCACACAACCGGCACTTTGAGCCCCCAAGGGATAGGAATATCAACTAGGGATGGCAGGACACTCCAGTTCCCTTTCTCCAGAGCAGTACAGCCAGTCCCGTGTGGCGATGGAGACACCTCAGCCTCCCACTGAAACATTCTAAACAGCAAACATCGCAGCAACCTCAACTGTGTCCTTTGACTGCATGACGACAATACAATCTGCAAGCACTCTGCCATGGAAGAGCCATGTATTATTAATTAAAGCCAGGAAGGGACTTGTCTGCTGAACACGCATTGCTTTCCTCAAGTACTCAGAAATGCACATTTCATGACAAAAAATTAAATGACAACAAAACAGCCTGAACCAGGGATTGTTGGTTTAATTAAATTCTGTTACCGTGATTTAATCAGCAACACATTTTCTTTTAAGGGACATTGTTAAATGGAAAATATGAGCAGTAAATATATTTAACAAAATTACCTTATCAATTGACAGTAGGGACTCAATATGGTTTCTTGAGAACAACATTATAGGCAAAGCTGGTATTGATGCCTATACTTAAGGCTGCCCAACACTTCCTACAATAAGACACTGATTTTAACTGCATATAAACTGGGTCAAACTGTAGCCACTCAGGCTGAAATTTCCCATGCTGGGCATCTGATTCAGGCTGAATATTAAGTCTCAGCAAAAACGGTTCAACCATCTGACCAACTTTAGAGGAAAATATATTTTGCCCATGTTAAAACAATCCTTAAAACCATCTCATTGAGATGCTCTAGTGCTTTGCAGCACGGACTAGAAATTTGGCAAGGGGGTCATTGTGGTGTCAGTGAGGAGCCCCTTTTGTTGTCCCTGTGAAAAATTGCTCAAGTGTGTTCTAGCCTTTGAAAAACTCTAAGTTCACCCATGCTCTATGGAGACCTCAGAGTTCACCAGCTAAACTCTGCAAAGAGTTTGTCTGCACTGAGCATGCTCCAACCCAGGGTGAGCAGGACTTTCCTGGCCATTGCTCCTTGGTGCAGTGCACCAGCACTTGCAGGGAGGGAATAGTGGTGGGGCAAAGTCAGGTCATGCCTGGGAGCAGGGGTTGGGAGAGATGGTTTGTCCTGTGCAGCATGGAGAAGAAAACATACTGACTCTAGTATAGAAAGGACAAGGGCTGAACCTGGGGGTGGGATAGCTTGGGGGGGGGGGAAGGGGCAGACTGGGGCTGAGAGCTGTCTAGAAGGCATAGCAGATCAGTCAAAGAGGAAGGGGGAACTGGGACTGGCTGGGCAAGACGACCGAGAACGGAAGTGAAGGGAAACAGACCGGGACTAGAACCGGGGGGGGGGGGGGCGAGAGAAGGGGAAACAGATTATAGGAAGCTGTTCGCTGCTCCATA